ATATTAACATTGATATATTTTTTTTTTCAAAATTTTATGATATCTTCAAATTTATATTTTATTCAAAAATAAAATCATTATTGTTTTCTTAAAAACACATAAAATCGTATTATAACATCGACAGAAACAAATAATAAAATAGAACATTAAAATCGAGATGTGTCTCGCTGCATTGCGTGAGTACTCTTCTAGTTATTATTAAAACATGAATTTTTTAAACAATATTTTTTTTCATACTTTTTAATGAGCTTCACACTTGCGAATTCAAATTCTACTCGACCATGAAGGAATTTTTCTCGCCCATGAACATGGGCAGAGAGTTTGTTCCAAAACCAAAATTAAACACGAGAGAGGGAATGGTTCATTTAGCGTCGTTAGCTTGACAAAGATTATATGATAGAAAATGTAAAATCGATGCAAGTCAAATGACTTAAATAGTCACCAATTAGGACACTCATGTAAACACACAAAAGACACACCGGATAACCGGTGTGTTCTCGTTATAAAACACGTTATGAACCACAAAGGGTGGTGTCTGATTAGTTTGAGCTTGGCTCCAAAGGTCAAAAGTACCAGGAGGTCTCAAGTTCAAATTTAAGGAGGAATAAAAATCCCCTTGTGGCCACGGAGGTTCAAATGCGGTGACTCCGGGCTATCTGCAAAGCAGGTAGTCGCCATGTGATTAGTCGGCTTGCATAACGGGTTGGATATCCAGGTTAATAAAAAAACACGTTATGCTATCCATAGTCAAGAATTAAACGAAGGGTATAGAGAGAAGGATCGGTGATGTCCGACTTGACATAAAAAATATTAAATCCGAGTAAATTAAAAATAACATGTGAGACGCATGAAATGAGACGGAGTTAGCATCACACATCGCCTCTAATTGTGATAAATATCTCTATCATAGCGAAAGGAAGACGTCTTAACAGTCCGTCACCCCGATACTATTAAACATGATTAATTAAACTCCGCAAAAGGAGGTGGATTAATGGTGTGGAAAAAATCAAACACGCTACCTAGTGAATGAAGACGAAAAGAAATTGTAAAAATAGAAATGAGATAAAGTAAGTCTTAAACAAAATCTATGTTAGCATGATTGTCCCCATGCAGTGGAGCCAAAAACTTGTTCTGTTTTAAATTTATAACCACAAGCATACGGGAAGTGTAGTATACTGGTCGTTCACAAGGAGTCGATGGACTAAACATGAATTTGTTCTAGACTATGGCCTAGCTAGGGGAAATCATCAATATTTTGATTTGTGGTGAAAAAACCTTTCTAAAACAAACTCGCACCTCCTCTCGTAGGATACAAATATTGAAAAAGAATCATTTAGATAAAACAAATGTTTTCTCATCCTACATCTCTAACTATTTTCATGTTAGGATTGCTGTCATCAACCAATTCGGTCAAAGTCAAGAATCAAACTTTTGTTCATATTCCCAACTAAACACTAGACTAAAAGCCAATTAACAACAGAGCAACTTCCGTTGGTTGAAATCAATTGATTAAAATACAGTATGTGTTTTCAAATCAAATGATTAATCTCAAGATTTTAATTCAAGACAATAAAACTCAATCAAATGAAAGTTAGACTACACTAAGGAACATAATACATAAATTTAATGAAAAGCGGTAAAATAAATCTAAGAAACTATAAAAATTGATCCAAGGAGTGTCACTATGCAAGAATCAATTCTAAGTCTAAGAAAGCAGTAAAATAAATTGGGAACAGTGCATAAAATAAATTAGGTACGGTGCATAAAAAAATAAAGCATGAATGTGTAGAAAAATGAAAAAAAGTGAAAAGATGAAAAAAAAATCAATAATTAAAAAGGTAAGGTATAGATGTATAATACAATGGTTGTTGATGAGGATTTATAAAACTCTATCTTCATCTCCAATCCACAAAATTGTGATTTTTTATGTAATAGCAAAAGAACGAAGAATTCACATAGAAAATAACATAAATCTAGATCTAAAGCTAGAACCTAACTCTAAATGATTGAAAGGAAGAAGCCTAGGAACAAAATGTTAAAATAAAAGAACCCTAAACCTTGGACGTTGTAGAGAAACAAATAGGGAAGAAGAAGAGGAGAGAAAATCAAAAAGGGGGGCACACTTTAAAAATATTGGCCGCCCTCTTCTCACAACCCTAGGAGAAGTATTTATACCCACAAGATGAATTTACCAAAAGACCCTTAAAAAGAGCGAGTTGAGATCTTCCGAGATGTCTTGCACGGCCATGTTGTTTTGATTTTGATTTCTATGCAGCCGTGCAAAATTGCATTCCATTTCTACATGATCATGCAAATTTTCTTCTAGCCTCTGAATGAACCCTGCAGAATTATTGAATCTTGTTGATTCAAACTCTCTCAGTAATTTGATGATGATCCTCCATACTTAGTGAAATATACTAGTTGTATTTTTGTTCTGTTTCAGTGATCATCTATGAGTCTGTTCAAGTGATCACTGAACATGTTTTGTAAAGCTTCTCTAAGAACAAGTATTCCTCAAAGACAAAACTCACACCAAAGGAACCTTCAGCGATGTCGAAGAAGTAGCTGAAAATAGAGACAACAGTTCATGATCTAAAGTGGATTCGGTGATAACAAGCGTGTCTAAATCGAAATGTGAAATCTGACCAAGACTCAGCAAACACCGAAGAAACTCTAGAGTTGAATTAGTGTCAACGATTAAATGAATCTTGCTCTACAAGATTAGTTTTTGTCTTATCCTCTTGTATGAAAAAGACAACCCATACCTCACACAGAAAAGTGCATGCACAGAGTTACTTTATTGTCTCCAAACATGCTTACCAACTTTCTGGAAATCAATTGTTCATATGCGGCCAAAAACTTGCATATCCAAAGACAAAGGACAAACTCTCCACTAAAAGTTTACCACATGGCTCGTACCTTCTGACTTGCATTGAATGCAATGAGTATAAATAGCTTAAAAAACTCTCTTCTCAGCAAGCATTTTTTTCTCATTTTAACTATTTTCTCTCTTGTTATTATCTTCTATGCGATCCATGTGTTTCTAAGATTGTTTATATGAGGTCTTAACCTAATCTTCTTCTGCAACAATCTGTAAATTTCATAGTGATTTTCCTTTATCAATAAACGAGTGTCTGTATTTACCCCCTTCTACAAACTATTGTCTTTAAAACTCTTGTAGATCCATTTTAGGACCAACAAATTTTTCTTTGGACTCCATGGTAAAAGGCTTTGGTCTTCGGCCAAAATCTTGATTTTGCATTTGATCACCTATATCAAAATACTTCACTTGACTTCTTTGCATTTGATTCACTTCATTCTTGGTTTAGCCCAACTCTTGCACCACTTGTCTTCTAATTCTCTATCTTCAAATCTCAGTCCAATACCATCAAATCAGCGAACTAATCCTGTCAAAAGCTATGCACAAAACAATAATAATATATCACTACCCCAAAAATTTAATGGAAATTAACTAAAAATTGAATAAAAGACTAAATGTAAATGATTAATCTAAATTCAAAAATACAACTAAAAAACTAACAAAGTTAGGTGCATAAAATGCACTTGACAGGGAACATGCACAACACTATTTTATGAGTTTCATACTCCCTTCACTGTTCCCTCGACATACAAAAGAATGGGATAGGATAACAAGTATCTACATCAACCACAAAGGCATAAATGAAGAGTACACGCATGCATGGATCAACAAATCAGATGAAGACACGTGTTAAAGTTGGGCATTAGTAGGTTTTACAATGATGACTATAAAAGGTCACCCTTATCATTCATTGTTACGAACCTATTTTTAAAGAACATCTATGTGATAATTTCTTAGAAAAAATCGATATCAGCATCTGAAGAACTATCTTAGTCCTTAGGATTTGAAAGAGTACCTTCTTCTCCCACTCTTTCATTGCTAGCAAATTTGTCACCAGTCATATTGTATAGGATCATAGGTCATACCTTCTTAGCTTCCGCAACAAATCTATAATTCTTTGTTTTAATACAAAATATGGAATTAAAAAGTGAAAATTAGTTTGTTTCCGTTCAACCCCCTTTCTATAAACACATTCTATATAAGTCATTACTTCCCAGGACGATCAATACACACGTGCGCGCACACACACATATACACATATATAGTGGGAGAGGGGAGATCAAACGAGAATACGATCAACTTACCTGAATTTGAGAAACAATCTTAACCCCTACCTCATTAAATCAAAGGTTAAAATGATATGTGGAAACTTGCAACTAAAAGGAAATTCTTGTCATTTTATTATAGGGGTAAAGGTAAGCATTGAAGGACCTGTGGGAGAAAAAAATAAGTTCATCAACCCAGATTTGTCGTTCAAATCGGACATCGATGCTCGTTACGGGCACTGTCGATTTTTTGGTACATATTTCTCCCCGACGTTTAACGAATGTGGCACTAGAGCCATTGGAATTGATGAATTTAGCGATTACTATGACTTGTCACTAAAAACGGTACGACACGTTATTCCTACAACGCCATCATCATCGACGATGATATTAACGACCAACGTCTTTGTCAACGGACAATGAAAAGCAGCCTTTATCACTGCTAATCACCCAAATTTTATCTCGGTCTCACTTGGTTGATGTACAATCACCGTCAACAATGATCCTCATTTACAACTTCATCTCTTAACGATGTCAAATGTGTTTTCAGTATACATGATATCACATTTGACATTGTTATTCATGTGATATTGTAGAAGAATACATATGATTGTGGTTTTTTGTGTCGTTAATCACAAAATGATATTCTAGCATAAGACACATGAATGTGGTTTTTTGTGTTGCCAATCACATGAGAGTTTGTTATGTTTAACAGAAAAATTGCATTTTTATTTTACTTGATAACTGTTACAAATTTTAGGGTTTAATTTGATATCAAAGAAAAGGGTGGTGGGGAGGGGTTGCAAGTTTAGGGAAGGGTTTATTTACTTGATGGGGGAGGGTTAGAGGTTCACCGAAAAATGGAATGGTCAACGTAAGTGGGAAGAGAGGATGAGGGAATAGTGTGTATGTGTTTTTTTCCATTGGGAGGATGGGTGGTGCTCAACAAGAAAAAGTGGTAGCGGTAAGGAGGCGGAATGGTCGTTGCAAAGGGGAAGGGAAATGGCTGAAAAGGTCGAGAAAAGGAACAAGATCCATTAGAAGGAGGATGGTTTAGCTTACGTACATATATTTAATAAAATATAATTGATAATATTTAAGTTTTTAATAGAAAAGACAAAGAAAGTTAAAATGACCAAATTATTCTTAGCTTAACGGATTTTCTAACAGAGTTAGTTAAAGGGACACAAACAATTACAAACCATAAGAACAAAAACCGTATTTTTAAAAATATCAATACCCAAACAACAATTTTTAACAAACCTAAAGCGTAGTTTACTCTTAATATTATTAAGAATAAACTACAATTTTGGTCCCCATGGTTTGTCGATTGTAACTGTTTTCATTCTTACAGTTTCGAAAATATAAGATATCGATCGGGTTAGATTTTGATTTCGGAGATGATGACCGCGCTTCACCGGAGACTATGACCAATGTTTCGTCAGAGTCGATGACCGACATTTCAACAAAAACGAAGAACAAAGTCAGGAAGGGGTTCACGACTTTCCAAAAAAGAAAGAGTTAGGTAAGGCAAGTGATATGAATTTAGTAGATTAGTTTACAAACGCTTTTTATTTTTAACTGAAAATGAAAACAAGAGAATAACTAAAAAAGAACTAAAATGCTTCTCACTTAACGGCTAAAACTTAGCGTTTGTTAAAGGGACCAAATCCGATTGCAAACCACGATGTTCATCTTGCATTTTTAAGCCCGTAGAAATGAAAACCTTTTAAAACCACAAACCGGAAGGACAAAAATTGTAGTTGACTCCGTTTATTATGCCAAACAGTAATCATATGAAAGAAGTCCACCAACTTGCTAAAAGTTTGGTCTAAACAAGCAAATATATACAAGAAGAGCCACCCTTCTCCCCCAGTATACACAAGTAGCCTTTGATACCCTCGAAAGGGTCGTCCATCATCCGAAGCCTTTCTCTATAAGTAGTAGATCCCTTTCTCTTCTTCCATCGTACTTGCTCAAAAGGGTTATCTGTTACGATCATGGCTGCTGCGCATTTGGGTGTTGCATATCAGGTAAGATTTTGCATTTCTTTTTCTTTCATGTTTCATTATTTTGTTCTGTTCCTCTTGCTTCTTTCCTCGACTTGTTTCTACTTTGCACTTTGTAACCGTGATTGGAAATGAAATTGGAGTTTCTAGGGCTCCGTCGCTGCCCCTCTCAACAGTGATTCATTGCTTCACAAACCATTTCTCAAGGTATGATTCAAGTTGCATTTTGATGTTCCAATCAAAGTTTTTTGTTTTAGTTTTTGTTTCCACTCCATTAGATCGTAATGAGAAGGAACCATTTGACTTTTTTCGTTTTGGATCGATAGTAAAGAAGGGCCTCCTTCTGATTTTAGAGATTCAAGAATAATAATTCCCGAATATATGTTTGATATATGCTTTCTTAGTTTCTTGTTCTTCATAATGTTTCTATTTTGTAAATTCTTTGCGATCCTGAAGCTAAGCATTAAGTCATTAGACATTAGAAAGTAAAACCAAACAAGCCCAGAATATCCACCAAAAGGGAGAAAACTATTAGACATTTGAAAGTGAAAAGTGAAAAGTTACGAAGGAAAGAATAATCTGTGGAGACTCCAAACTAACCACTTTTTCCCCTTTGAAAGATAGAGGATGTGATTATGAAAAGAGAGAGCATGCATAGGCTTCTTCAATAGAGAAGGCATTGCTTTGAGTTTGATGGTGTTTATAGATTTGCACATTTTATGATGGAGCTAGTAGAAGAGATTATACTTTACTTTTCATCAGATGCAAAAAGCATTGATAGCTTACTCTTGTTTCATTCGAAATATTTATTTTGTCTCTAGTTAGCTTTATTCTTTATACTATGGCCTTCAAAGGACCCCCACGAAAACCTGATCATCGTTAGCAAAACTCACATATGGATAGTATCAATCCAACGGATGGAAATTAGTCGGATCTTGAAGAATCAATTCAAGTTTTCAAACCCAATGCATGTAGGGCAGTACAGTCTATGAGTTCTTTTGTAATGATATCTCATGCAACTGAGATTTGAGTTTTTGTGATGAATTAGATGATAGTATGTCAATTAGCAAACTTCATCCTGGATATAGCCCACTGATACAAATTGGACTTGATGTTTTCTCTTACTTAATGCTTCTGAACCTTCCTATGCTCTTTAAACAACAATTAGTAATCAGTAATATATATATATACATAAATAACGTATGTAGTACTTTAGTGTCTTCCATGTAATTCATCCAATAAAAATCACAATTATTCACCTTTATATGCACATTAACAGAACTGTTTCGGTCGTTACAAGTAAGTCTACCCTTTCATCATAACAAAACAGGAGGGGAGATGTTTTGAATAACTCTAGGATTTCAAACGAAAGTAAGAGTTAGAGATTTAGAAGTAGTAATTTCCACATTCAAATTTCTCATTTCTGTAGTCTTCATAATGTTTCTGTTTGGTATTCCTTATGTAGTTATCAAAAAAAATTCTCCATGGAAGATTCCTGTCTATTTTGAGGCTAAAAACTAGGCTTTTGACATGCGAAAGTCAAAGCTTTCTCTCTTTTTCTTAGTACAACTCACTTATGGATGATATCCATCAAAGAGATGGAAATTTGTCGGATTTCACATGATGATTCAAGTTTCAAATCTAATGTAGGTAGGATATCACATGCTGCGAGTTCTATGATAGGGCTATTTACATGCAATTTTGAATTTGATTTTTGTGTGTTTAATGACGCCATAGTGTGTTGATTAGCAAACATCATCCTTCATAGAGGTCATTGGTGACGAGTAGGAGTTGGTGGTTGCTCGTACTAATTGCTTTGAACCTTCCAAAGCTCTTTAAACAACAATTAGCAAGTATGTTTAGCTAGTATTTTAGTGTCAAAAATATATTTCGTTCAATAAATTTGCTGTGAGTAACCTTAGATGCATGTTAACAAATGCACGTCAATCATTAATCGGATGTCTAAAGTAGACCATCAAAAACAAACTAGGAGGGGAAGTGTTTTGAATAACTCCAGGAATCAAATTTTGGTCTTGTGATCAAAATCAGTATTAGAAATAATGTTTAGTAATTACTACAGGGATAATAGGTAATTGTAGGTTAAAATTTTCTAAAACAAAATGATGCAATTAGAATGGGACATCCCATGGTGGAAATTCTCGTTCTATGATTACTATGTGCTAATCATTGTTCCTTCTACGTGTTTGCTCACACTTTTGCACAAGCCGGAGGTATTCCCGGATACAGCCGCTCTACTCTTTGTGGTAGAGGACAGGTCTGCATACATCTCACCCTCCCCTTCGAATGGGATTTACTGGACCAGTTTGGTTTGTCCCATGGTGGATATGGCAATTTTCATATGACAAAGCAAGTACATTGTCGTCTGTTTTTCAAAGCGAGTTTTCTTTTCTAGATGTCTTCCATTGAAGAACTTGTCGATGGTCGTATGAATATGCATCACAAAATTGTCTTCTGTAATGACGCTAAGTTTTTTTATTTTTCCAATATCTTCATAATTTATTACTCAAAGGAAAATGCATTTTATGTTGTTGTCACAGACCCAGAAGATTAGCTTTCGTGATAAACCATGGATGCGGGAGCCAAAATCAAAGATTGTACCATCAAGATATCAGTCTGTTGTTTCTATGATAGTACCACAAGCAGTAAACAAAGCTAAGGTTTTGGTTTCACCCTTAGATCTTGAAGATGCAAAAGAACCTCCCCTAAACTTACACAAGCCGAAGGAGCCATATACTGCAACCATAGTCTCTGTTGAAAGGCTTGTGGGCCCAAAAGCTCCTGGAGAGACTTGTCATATTGTAATTGACCATGGTGGCAATGTTCCATATTGGGAAGGTCAAAGTTACGGTGTAGTTCCTCCAGTAAGTCAAAAGCTAGCTTCTTGTCTTACATTTCATTTAGAAAAAACCGAGTTAGATTTTCCACCGTTATAATTGTCATTTCAGACAACCATTGTTCTTGTGAAAATGCAATGTACTTTGGTTTGATTCTTATTTTGTGTAACGTACTCTTTAAACCTTCAGTTTGGTACCTCAGTTCCAGAATCTCAAACATTTAGACCAAAATACAAAATAAGAATCAGACAAAATTACGTTGCATTTTCATATGTAAACTAGTTACCTAAATGTTTGAGATGTCATATCTAAGGTGTACCAAAATGAAATTATGAAAGTACGTTACACAAAAATATGAATCGGCAAAGTTTGTTGTACTTTCATGCAATTGGCCCCTTTTTTGCATTCTCACAAGTACACTTTTGTTTTTGTTTTTTGAAGTATATAATATTTATATACAGCAAATACTCACGCACACTCCTCATCTGTAGTAAGGTTTGAACCCTTGGCCTCTTGGGACCGTAACCTGGTTACTGCTGCCCCAATGACCCTTTAGCACAATTATTGTTTTGCAGCAAAGTGACAATTGTTAAAATGATAATTCAGTCAGTTTAGAAAATTATGAGATTATGGTGAGGGTTTCTTTTGTTGTATAGATGTGTATGAGCTGCTATTGTTTTGATGATAAAATATTTTGGTTTCTTCATGATAGGGTGAAAACCCAAAGAAGCCTGGGGCTCCTCACAATGTTCGCCTTTATTCAATCGCATCCACAAGGTATGGGGACTCTTTTGATGGGAAAACGGCTAGTTTGTGTGTTCGACGTGCTGTTTATTATGATCCCGAGACTGGTAAAGAAGATCCATCAAAGAACGGTGTATGCAGTAACTTCCTCTGTGACTCAAAGCCTGGAGACAAAGTTAAGATAACAGGTACCTCATTTTCCAATCCCAATGATGTCAGACGGGGCTATTTAGTTAAATAACCTTATATGGGAGTCACTTTTACAACCAACCATCTAGTGTTTTTTCAAGTTTTAGAGGGTTTTATTCCAAAAGCAGGTAATTGAAGGTTATTGAGTTGATTATTTTTTCAAAAAGTCATGCTCCTAATTGAGAACTCGTTCATCTAACTAAATGACCCTAATGTCAACCATCAACACTATGCTGCCTCTTCAATCCTTAAAAATGGAAGATTTTTTGTTTTTGTTCTATGTTGCCCTCTGTCTTATATATTGAACCAAGGTCAATAGCCGCAGGTATTGAATTGATTAGTCATGTAGTTAAATAGCCTGAAATGACTTTTCAATTAGGAATATAATCTTTTAAAATAAAATTAACTCGGTAACCTTCAAATGACCTGCCTCTGATGTTTAAACACTCTACCTCCGTTAAGTCTTGAAAAAGATCAGTTTGTAAAATTGACTTCATAGAAGGTCATTTAACTAAATAGTCCTCGATTTGATTTAGTTGATATCCCATAGAAATTGCTTTGTTTAAACTCTGTGAATGTAATGCCAATGTTGCTAGTATTTTTAATGGATATCTTACCTTTCTTGAACTGTATTATTACTGTTATCTGTTTGTTTACGCTCTTGCACAAGCTGGAGACGGAAAAAACTTCTCTATTCTTTGGGGTAGAGGTCAAAGACCCTACGTTCATGTGGGATTTACTGGTCCATTTGGTTTGGTTTCTTGAAATGTAAATTGTACATTTTGGCAGGCCCAGCTGGAAAGATTATGCTTTTGCCCGAAGATGACCCGAGTGCAACCCACATTATGATTGCCACCGGTACGGGTGTAGCTCCATACAGAGGCTATCTGCGCCGCATGTTCATGGAATCTGTGCCCAAATACAAGTTCAACGGTCTTGCTTGGCTGTTCTTGGGGGTGGCCAACAGTGACAGTCTTCTGTACGATGATGAATTCAGCAAATATCTTGTAGACTACCCTGATAACTTCAGGTACGACCGAGCTCTTAGCAGAGAACAAAAGAACAAGAACGGAGGTAAGATGTACGTGCAGGATAAAATCGAAGAATACAGTGATGAGATATTTAGAATGCTGGATGGAGGGGCCCACATCTATTTCTGCGGGCTTAAGGGGATGATGCCAGGGATCCAAGAAACGCTTAAGAGGGTTGCGGTGGAAAGAGGGGAGAGCTGGGATGCGAAATTGTCACAGCTGAAGAGGAACAAGCAGTGGCACGTTGAGGTTTATTGATAAGGTATTCATGCTTGCAATTGTTTGAAAATTTGAGAAACTGGTAATAAAAGTGTGAAAATCATCGATTTCCTTTGAATTCAATCCGGTAGCATATTTGACCTTTTGGGGTCTTATTAACTGTTTATGGAATTCAATGATACACAAGTCTCGCGTCTTATCCATTAGATGTAACGTATTTGAGTTAAAACCTTGTATTTGAATCGTTTTTGCTATATCGATGACCTTGTACACAAGTCGCGAGTTCAAATCGTCTTTTTTGGTCTTAATTGGTCTTTTGCGACTGTTTTTGTGTTTTATTTACCAATTTAGTATCAGTTATACAATCTATACTATATTATAAAGCATTTGACAAAAACTTTTAAGAACAACCTTTTAAGCATCATGTACTGTTATATAATGCTAATTCCTTAATTTTCAAATTTACAATTTTTCAATGCTTGTGTACAACTTATTGAAACACCTAAGCGGGGTTTAGATAACCTCAATCTTCCATCAAGAGCAAACATTCATCCATATCCTTATGAGTCTCTAATCTTCATCCATATCCTGATATCTATCAATTTCAACAGATTTAGAGATGGGTAAATCGATACATTTTTTTTTTCAAAATTTTATGATACCTTTATATTTATATTTTATTCATTAAATAAAAGCTTTATCGTTTTTCCAGCATCACATAAAATCGTATTATAACATCGACGGAGACAGAATAAAATAAAACATTAAAATCGAGTTGTATCTCGTTATATTGTGCGAATACCCTTTTAGTATATCTAGAAATTTGTGAGGGATCCGGTTATGGTCACGGATAGAGAACACAGGGACCCATACGAACAGTAAAGGACCCAACCGGTTTATTGGTTTGCACATCTTTAATATGGCAAATATAACTTTTCAAAAAATATCAGTCCAACTGGTCCTGTAACTAGGGGTATTCAAAAACATCAACCCAACCCAATCCAACATTAAATAACTCAACTCGAAGCAACATGATGTCTAATTGAATTGTAAAATCTTCAAACCATAGGTATTGGGTTGGTATCCGGTTACTTTTGTTTTGAACTCAACTCAACCCGATGTCTTTTTATTTCTTCGATTTAATATAATTATCGAGTCTTTACTTGCACATTAGACAATTACACCATCACGTACCTTAACGGGTTCAAAAAATGATTCATTTTCAAATCCTTAATGAGTAGGGATTGTCCAGTCTGAACTAAAACCAGTCCTTTTGTAACTGGTTATATAGTCTTTAACCGGTTTGATCCTGGTCTTCAGCACCTGACCATGACCACCTCTAACAAGGATCATAAATAGACACAAGTTATCAAATTTGAATTGAAAACTGTTACTTAACTTTGGCATAGACATCTTTTTTGTCCCATCAAAAAAGATACTGAAAATACTGTAATTGGGGGGGG